GAGTAGAAAAATATATACAAAATATACAGTTAAGTGTGATAGTCTTAAAATCTTAAACTGTACCTGAGGCAGCGGCCTGCAGACAGTGAGTCTCCTCAGTAGAGGAGGGACAGAGAGCAGGATGAATGACTGATACTGATGTCTGTCTTCTTCATGTTGACATAACGTGACTTTCTTCACTCAGTATTGTGATGTCAGAAGGAATATTTATTTTATTGACATGTTAGATTTGTTTCCACTGAGACATTATTGAGTTTATATCGTGACTTTGTTGTTGTAAACATGACTGTTGCTGTCACAGACTGTATAACACTATATCCTGTGTATCTTAGTGTGTTATTAGTTACTGTTAATGCCACTTACCATGCCTCTGTGCATGGATAGCTCTTTTTTATTCTGTTTCTGCATTATGTTGAAGAGGGTCATATATACCTCACCCATTTTTCCCATCTTTCTTCAAAAATATAAACTTGATTTCTAATTCTCATTGTTATTTTTTCCATTCTGTGTATCTCATTTACAAGATCCTTCCATTTGGAGTTACTTAAATTATCAGCTTTTAACCAAATTCTTGTAATTTGTTTGATTAATGCTACTCTTATTATTCAAAACAAAAGAACATCATTATTCCCAATGTTTTCTGGCAGTTTTCCAAGTAATAGGACTAATAGATTTTTGTTAAAAGAGATGCCAAAAGGTTGGGTGAGGTATATAACAAACAATATCTCTAATGATTTGTAAAATATTTTTTTATTATTTTATGATACCTGTAATGAATTCCTCATTGTCTTTGTTTTTGAATATAGGCATATGCATTTGTAAGTAAGTACTCAGTCTACATGTGTTAGTTGTTATGGTACCTAGTGCATGTATTGATGAAAATGTATCCTCTGACTGAAACCTTATGCAATTAATTGAACTATTTTTATTTACTTGTTTATTTGTTTGTCCGATTATTCTGTTTTATGTTTTGTTGTGTTTGTTTTGCTTTGTTTTTTGTTTTGTTTTGTTTTTTCCTATTTTGTTTGATAGTTGTTGTTGTTTTTTATTATGCTATAAAATCTTCAAAAAATGCAAATAAAAAAAAGAAGAGGGTCATATATATGTGTGTGTGTGTGTGTGTGTGTGTGTGTGTGTGTGGACATTTTCTGGTTTTAAAATCCAGCCCTGTCATTTGTTCCTACTCTCTAATATGACCCACTAAGTAAGCGCCCCTACCATTTAGGTTAGGTTTATAAAAAGAATCATAATTGGTCATTGGCCTGTTACAGTACATTCTTCAAGTATCGCTACGTACTGAACCGCTGTTGGGCAAGTTCTTGTCAAAATGTAATTCATTACATATTACTTGTTAACTTCATTTTAAAGCGTAAGGCCTGTTACAGTACATTCTTCAAGTATCGCTACGTACTGAACCGCTGTTGGGCAAGTTCTTGTCAAAATGTAATTCATTACATATTACTTGTTAACTTCATTTTAAAGCGATAAGTTACTTTACAAGATTACTTTCTGTTTACAGTAATGTGTTACTGATTACACTTTCACGTTACTTTCACCAAAATGACCTCAGAAGTATGAGCATGAATGGAAAAACATCCAACATACTGTGGCTACTGTGGCTCAGCAGGATGTCCACCAATCAGACGATCAGCGGTTTGATCCTCGGCTCCTCCAGTCTGCATGTCTAAGTATCAGGTGGCACCTTGTATGGTAGCCTCAGCCACCAGTGTATGAATGTGTGTGTGAATGTAGTGTAAAAAACTTTGAGTGGGCGGATAACTAGAAAGGCGCTATACAAATGCAGGTCCATACTAATGTGCAGTTGACAGGAAAGGCTATTAACATGCCAAGGTACAGTGAGGCGTGAGTGCTGATCTCTGGTACCCTTCTATAACATAGCCTATAATGACATTACAAGACACAAAAACCTTTCAGGACATTTGTTCCTGGTGGAGGTGGTGTGGTGTGGATGAATGACAAAATTAAGACAATAAGATTATTTCTGGTAGTAACGCATTGTACGACATTGTAAATGTAATAATAACCTGACATCTTACTGGTAATTCCTTACTTTACAGCTAAAATGTAATATATTATTTTATTACACGGCTCTATTAAATGCTGTATTCTGATTGGTCAGTAGCGGCATTCTGCGGTCTGATATTACTGTGTAATGACCGCTGCTAGTAGCAACGGTCATTACACACAGTTGCTATGTAGCCCAGCGTTGCTAGGGATGCTGCCCCCCTTCAGGGGAATGAAACCCCTCCACTGCGCGTCGGGGTTCTATTCCCCTGTCGGGAGTTATTTTCCCAGTATTCACCGGCTCATTATACATTATCCCTTACGTCACACGTTACAAAAACAAGGCATTATCCTCCCACACTGTACTCAACGTAGTGTGACAATGTGATGTGACAGCATGATGGGGCAACATGACGGAACAACATGACGTGACGATATGACTTAATGGCATAATGTGATGTGACGACATGACGTGACGACATAATGTGACATGATGAAATAACGTGACAACTTGATGTGATGAGGTGGCGTGACACCGTGACGTCATGACATAACACGATGACGTGACATGACCTGACAACATAACGTGACGTGACGTAATGCTAACTGCTAATGTGACTTTTAACCTTTTCTGCTAATTTTAGGTGGTGAGAGGGGGCTTCTGTGCTTCAACCTGTGTTGCTGGTTAATGTTTTAAGACACTTAAGATCTATCACTGCCTGTGAAACTAAGTTTGTGTAAAGTCTGGGTTAGCATTATTCAATGTATTCTCATACAACGGTTGGTATGGTATCCTACGAAAAAAGCATGCACAACAGTTTGTATGATATTTTAAGAATTTGCCCCCATGAATGATGTTATGTCCTTAAGGTACAGTTACATAATTAAGGTAAAATTACAGAGGTTAGGTTTAGGCAATAAAAGTAGCTGTGGTTAGGTTTAGGAAGTGAGGACATACCTTAAAATGACTGAAAGTCCACACGGATCTGAACACACGACTCTGGGATAAAGTCCTGTGTGACAGTTTGTTTTTTTGTGACCCATCCAACCAACCTGCCTCCTTTCAAGTGCTCGGGACTGCTTCCCTATTTACTGCCATCAGTGCATTGGTCATGTGATTGCAGCCTTTCAAAATACATGGGATATGTACAAATTTGGGTGCATTGCTTTTTGTAGGAAAACACCTGAACAATTTGTGAGAACAGCCTGCATTATCGGCTTCTGTTTCTCACTGGGATTCCATATGTCATGTAATCTACACTCACATCCTGCTTTTTCTGAAACAGCAAACCCGTCTACTGGACAACTATCCTTTATTTTTGAGTTCCTTTTTTAAAATAACTTTCACCGTTTCTCTCTTCCACCTCTTAATTTCTTTATCTGTCTATGTGTCTCTTTGCAATGATTTTCTCGCCTCTGTCTCTGAGGACACAGAGAGCCAGAGAGGGCAGGGAAAAGTCAATGATCTCTAAAGGTCCCGGGCTCACACAGTCCATGTTCCTGCTGCTTTGTGGGAGGGAATAATCTAGCCATCAATACCTCCTCCCAGATAATGTCAGCCCTTCCAGACCAATGCACAATTAACCTTCCTCCCACCCCCTCCCTGCACACACACACAACTGTGTAACTACCCTGTCAGTGAGAACAGTAGAGTGATGATTTGTGGATGAATCTTGCTGAGTACAAAGAGAAAACTCAACAAAAAGCAACATCAAACCTCATGTTCAGCATGGCGAAAACCACCTGCCATGAACACTCTGCCCCCTTTTAAACACATTTAAAACCAATTTCATCTGCATCATGTTGAGTTAATTAGCGGTTTGTGTGATTAGGAATCCACCAGGGGATTCTTTGATGTTGACTGGGCTGGCGACTCTTGTAGGCTCCACCTGAACTGATACAATCTGTTCCAACACTCAGTGATGGGAGAACACCAGCCTGGGTATGAACACATATACACAGCTTACTGCTACTACATGAATCTGTCACAACTGAGTGTACACATGTAGCATTTTTATGCCTATAGAGAGGAAGATGAAAGGTCCAAAGCAAACTAAAGGTTAAAGAAAAATATTATCGACAAAACTAAAATTCCTCATCACTTTGGTTTCATTTAAAAACCTCACTTGGTTCTGCTGTACCTAACACTGATAAAAACTGAGTCTTGCTTTATTCCAATGTCCCTCTCTGATCTGCTCACTTGTGTCTGTCTGACAGCTTATTGCACCTCCTAATACAATTACATATGCAATACAGCCTTTACATGGAGTTTGTTCCAGTGTTGCACGGATGAATGAATACGCTGAGTGGGGATACATTACTGGAATACATGTGCAGATCATGCATAATGCAGGCTAATCTCGTAGGCAGATATGGCAACCAAAGTAGAAGCTGTGATCTTTGATGCAATGCTACTGAAGGCATTTCATTATCATAATGCCATACAATTACACCCTGACACATTATTTTAACCAGCTGGAGAAAAAAAAACAGGCAGTGTCACAATGATGGGGGTTTTGGAGAGGACCCAGCCAACAAGCTTTCCAAACCTCTCAAAGAGATGTCTGAAGGCACAGTGAAATAGTTACAAATGACTGAGATACTATGTTTTTCAGTTCGGTGAAAACATGCAGGTCACTCTCAAGGGAGGATCCTGAATGCCTCACATGACTTTCTGACATCAGTGGGGACGTTTCACTCATTTTGCGCTACTGTTAAGGAATCAGTCCCCTGTGCGCTGTTCGTGCGCAGAATGAGCGACGCGCTCCCGCTGCTCTCATCCTGTGGAGTATCTGGGCGAAGGTGGCACTTCTGACAACGAGATAAGGTGTAGCCTAAGGCAAAAGAGATGACGTGGGGATACTGATGCTTCGTTCTTTAAAGTCTCCCGCACACCAAAAAGTGTTGGGAGTACCCCCCTGTTCACCCACCCTGCCCACCCCCCCAAAACACGTCAAAGTGTCTTCTGTCCTTACCGCATAGCAGCTGCATCCAGGCGCACGTCTTATAGACCGTGGCGGTGTTGCAGAAGAAGAAGAGGGCGAAGCAGCCGATACAGCCAAGGATGAGCACCATGGACATCAATACGAAGAAGGAGGCCGCCTTGAAGGCTCCCGACGGGATGGAGCTGAAGTCGGAGAAGCTGCCCTGGCACAAGAGCTCCCGGTTGGAGTTCCCGTTGCCCACGCAGTAGTGGAACAAGCCGAAGTAGCCGGCTTGGGGAGTGTTGACGCTGTCGCCGATCCAGTAGGGCTGGATGAAGACCACCACGTTGATGATGGCCAAGCAGATGGTGAATATGGCCCACAGGACCCCGATGGCCCTGGAGTTGCGCATGTAATTGTCATGGTAGATTTTGGAGGCTTCTTGCGAAGGCAGCATTTTTCTCTCCCACCCCCCCAACTAACCCCCCCGCACAGCAGCGTCAACCTGGTGTTCCCTCTTCTCTTGATCTCCCTTTATCCTCCCTTATCCCTAGGTAGAAAAGGTGGAGTGAAATTATATTAAAAAAAGAAGAAAAAAATTATAAAGAAAACAAACAAATGTCCAAATGTCCAGTGACTGGTCCCCTTCCTCCCCTGAACCTCAGTAAACCAGCAGATATTTTTTGGAGAAGTCTCACATCCAAATGCCCCCCACCCCCCTCCTCCCTCCTTCCTCCGCTCAGATCAGTCAATCAATTCTGTGGCGGTGCGTGATTCAGCTGACGGGAAAGCCTCCCCTCTCCTTCGCTCCTCTCAGCGCGTAAAGACACAGCAGAACCGACAGCCGAGCTCACGGAGCCAAAAACAACGGCCAGTGACGGACGGGCTGAGCAGCATTGTCTTCTTTCAGCACATCACCTCCGCCTATAACGGTGTGCGCTCTGCTGTGCATTCAGACCCAAAATGTATCAAAGAAAATGCGAGATGCACCCGTCGAGTTTCCCCGAGATGATGGTGATGATGATGAATCCACGGCAAATGATCCAAAAGAAACAACCGGAGACAGTGATGCAGTCTTTGACATGCTTCACTCAGCAATCAAACTTGACAAAAAAGGAAAAAAGTGACACGACCGTAGTTCGAGTATGCATGAAAAATGTATAAAAATATAAATTAGTCCTCCAGCACTGCACACACCGACAACCCCATGACTGTGGTTTTGGATGCTGTGACTCTCACTCACTCTCTGGGTGTCTCTCTCTCTCCCTCCGTGCGCGCAGCCGAAGAACGTCGACGACTTGTGGATGACGGCGCGCACACATTTTTGATATTGCAGAAATTTGACCCCCCCCCCCCCCCCCACCCCCCCCCCCCCCCCCCCCCCCCCCCCCCCACACACACACACACACACAACTTAGATATCCTCTCCCCGTCTACACACACACATAATTTAACGTTTTTTAAACAAGCAGTTTTCAAGAAAGGCATTTGGAGCCACCTTTTGTAACAATAATAATCAGCTCCAGGGAGAACCCTTCCATGAATTAAAGGGGCTCTGTATGAAATAGCCTACAGAGTGCAGGAGTTGTCCGCACATGGTTCTCAACATGGAGGCAGTTGAGCAACAGTGCTGACAGAGCCGATGGTTTTAACCTGGGGGGAACTGAAGGGTGGGCGCTATGTTTCTGCAACAATGCCATTGCGATATTAGTCGTAACTATCATATGAATGCAGTGCAAAGAGACAATGAGTTAGCCAGTGGGAAAAACACATGGTTAGGGGAGTGCGGGGAACCTCTTAACATGGGGTAAATTGTAACACCTGCCAAATCCACAGATATTGGACGTCTACGTAAGTGACTGAATCCAACCATGTTTCATCTTAATAACTGTCATGTTGCCTAAAACACAGCACCATTTTGAATTACGAAACCAACTCCCAGCAAGTGTTAGCTTGGCTTGATAAAATTTCCACACAGTGGGATTAGTTTGTAACGTGGTGTTACAATTAAGCCACCTATAACGTACAGCGCCAATGAAACAAAAACAGCTCATTTTTGCTCCTTTTTTTCAGAGTGATATCAAAAACAAATGACAGATAGGGGAGTGAGTAGGAAGGTTCTGTGTCTTGGTGCCAGGGATGTGGATAGCGGCAAGTCTGGAAGAGGAGTGGCAAAGGTATTTGGCATCTGCCATGTGACTCTCCATCGTTATGGATACCTATCCTTCCCCTGATGTAGATGGAGAGATAGGTATCTACATACATCTATCCATCAATCTATCACAGATGGGAAGAGAAAACATATATAATATATGAGTTGATCTTTCCATTCACAAAGCATTGGTGGTTAGGTGAGAGATGTACAGATGTTTGGATATCTATTATAGATCCATAAACAGTATCAACCTACAGTATATAGATAGAACTGTAGTGAATTTATTGTGTTAAACAGACTTTTCCAACAAGTGTTACAACTAACCCTCTGTTCTAGTTCTAGAATAGTTCTAGAAAAAAACAACAGCTGTTCATTTGTAGGAGAGACGTGCATGTTGAAAGTGATTAATCTTAAACAGTTCTATTAACATTTAGCCCAAACTAAAATGTGTTAGGTTGTCCTCTACAACAAACCAGAGAGAAGTTTGGATTACAACCATGGGTGTGTAAATAGAAGAGGAAACAACTTTGGAGGCGGGCCCTGTGACTTTCTATGAAAGTTACTCAGTGGCACATAAAGCCAAAAAAGCTCAATTTCCATGGTGTGGAATTACATGGATCTTCTGCATCGTGGGGCCCATAGAGCAAGCACACTGGAGACTTTCAGTTTCGCCCTCTGCTAACTTTAATGGGGATAAATCATTTAATTGTGCGGCTCTTCTAGACTTACAAAATGTTATCAGACTGAATGGATCAAATCCCGATAGTGAAGTGACTCACTGATTGATCAGTGATCTACTGATTTTCAGATAATGTTAAACTTCAATTAAAAGCCTAGTCCCAGTTAAATGCCAAGTCCCTTTTACTAGCCCGGTGTGCCTACACATTTTGTCAAATAAACGCCTGTCTCCATTAGATGTCTGGTCTGGTTGCCAAGCAGTTCTTTTTTTTTTTTTTAATAGTTTTTTAGTTTTTTAATCTTCCGATGTGTAAAAGCGTTTTTTTTGGCTACCTCAAATAATGCGTCCATTCTTCAATTACCCTGTAAGTTATTAATATTCCTTCAGTCCGTAGGGGTCCTCAGATCAAAAGAATCAAAAAGGTTTTTCATAAAAATGTATTCAAGCTGTGAGCATTGTTTTAACAGGATGGAGTGATGTTGTGTTTGTATGCTGGGTGCTGTAATCCTCAAGTGCTGTAACTCACTCTCTCCTTGATGCACTGTCTGTCGGAGCTAGATCAAATGAATGATTCATAATTGATATATTGTCTGATGCCTAATTTTTGAACGAGTAATATTCATACTGGTTTAAATAAATAATTTGATTATATTTCCCAATCTTTGCAGAGCAAGGAATAAAAGGCCTGTTCCAAATATAGGCCTGTAGATTTCAGTGATTTAAGCAAATAATAATCTGGGCTATTAATTGAAGTTTTACAGTATGTCAATCGCAATATAAATCTATGGGAGAAAGTGTTTTTTGGCCCCATGGTATCACGTGATGGACCTGGAAGTTGTAAAAGTTTAGCCACTATGTAAAATGGGCTTTAAAGCCCATCACTGTTCCTAGGGGTTTCATTACGACACACAGAGAGAAAGTGTGACTTGTGACCTGTACTCAGGACGCCATTACTCCACTTTATCTCTACATAGCAAATAGAGGTTTACTGCTGTATTAATGCTCTGAACGTTGCATACAGAACCTTTAAGGCCAGATTACAAATCCAGGAAATCAGCAAAAGCCCCAGACATACTGTGACTTTTCTGTTTTAAGGTAAGTTGATTTATTAAAATATTGACTGGAAATATGCAATTAAGCAATATCACACAAGAGGGAGTGCTGTTGTACATTATATCAGCATGGCTGTGATTCAGTCTGAAGATAGTCACAGCCCTGCTGATATCCAGTACATTAGCACAACCTCAAGTGTGATATTGCTTTTATACAACAGTTCACAAGCGGCATTTATCAATAGTGAAAAGCAGAAACAGGTTCTCATTTTTTTTTGTTTATTTAATGATTTATTTAGCTCCGCCAACACAAATAGTTTGGCAACTTGACCGAGACTGTACTGTTGCCAAGCAACACACACAACATTCCTACACACTAGCTTGCTAATTTGTGTATGTCTACACTTTACCACAGGCCAGCTACCTTGTATCACGTAGGCTACATCTGTGTGTTTCCGTTTCTTTTGCAACCAGTGAAATCAGTCTATTGACAGTCGCTTTGGTGGCAAATGTGTGATGCTGATGAGTTAACAGCTTAACCAGTATGTTGTGTTGTCTTCTAGTGTCATCTGAGCACATCTGGAGATTTGCAGTGAAGTATTTGGGCTTCTTTCCATCACTTTTCCTTTTTCTGACAATTCATTATTTAACTCAAATGTTTTTTGTGGTAGTATGTTTCATTTTGCGGTGCAAAGTTTGTTACCACTCCCCTTAATGTAGGCTAATTAACTGTTTACATAATTAAAAGCTCAGAACACCTGCAAAGCGCAGTTAGGCCGTGATCACACAGAGAGCAGTGCAAAGCAGAGAACAGAGAGTTTTAGCAGTTGGAGGCAGCTTTTCGTAATTGTCTTCAATGAGAATGAAGCTTTTTGCTCACTGTTTTTGCATTGCTACGCACCTCACGTTTCTGTGCTCAAGGCTCCTGGCATTTTTGTCAGAGCACTCTGAACTCCCTGAGTTGAAAAAAACTTCAACTCAGAGCAGAAAAGCACCCCACGTCATCTCCGCTTTTTCCCATTGTCTAATCGGATGATTTGAGAGGTGGGCCTTCTGTAGTGGTCACGACAACAAGTTTACAGTTGGTAAATAATGGAGGAGAAACTGGTGGTATCAGTTGCTGGATACCCAGAGCTATATGACTATATGACTTTACAAACCGCACTTACCATGCTCTCAGTAGAAAACAGCAGGCTTGGAAGCATATAACTGCAGTACTTGAAACAGCCATCATGGAGGCAAAGCTCCTGGACCAACTGGTGGTCCTCCTGTGATCCAATCTCTTTTTTAGGGTCTCATGTACCCACACAGATCTCTGTTTACCTGTTCCCAGCAAACTGACAACCTCTCACCCTCAGCCAGAGCTACAGCAAGTTCCCTCTGCCTGTCCATTTTAGGAACCAGCTACTAATTACTGTCTAATAAATAAAAATAAATTAATCATAGATAAATAAACAGTATATTGATTACACAGAAAGATTAGGGTAAGGAGGTAATGGAATGGTTGCCTGGCAACAATAAAAATGTGCAGCATGCACTTTTTTGTTTATTTGTTTGTTTGTTTGTTTGTTTTTACTGCTGGCATTCAATTTTAAAAAAAGGCCAGTGTGGTGCACCTTGGTCAATCACACACTTTGTGTGTGATTGAGCCTGATACATGCATAGTTAAAAGTCCCACTGCTGTTATGCTGTATCAGTGCTCATGGAATGCCTCTTGTCCAATCAAAATGCTTGGTTGGAACTAACTGGTGTCTATTATGAAATATCAATAGACATAAAAAAGGTTGTTTATTTTCTAATGTTTGA